TTTGGCATAGTACTCCGACTCTGTGTTCTCCTGAGTGCAGCCTTCCTCCCTCTCCCCATGCATCTCTTCCAGCAACTCCCGGGTGCTGTTGTAAAGTGCCAGGACCTGATAGGGGACGTGGGTCATCACCGATGGCTCAGGGGGACTGGTGAGCCTGAGCTTGCTCAAGATCTGTCCCCTAATGGCTTCCACCCTCTTCTTCTTGATGTGGCCGAAGTCCAAGGTGGTGCAAGTGGACAGAGAGAAGCTTACTGTGGCCAAGTTCAGTAGGGCCAGGACCACCAGAGCCCTTTGCAAGAGCATCTTCGTATATGAGCCCAGGAGCGAGGCCAGGGGGCGGGGGAGGCCTGGCAAGGAGGAGACCCCAGCAGAAAGAGGGAGGAAAACCAGGCGTCCTCCCCAGATCCCAAAGACTGAGGCTTGGCAAGAGGGTGCATGAACTCACTGCACTGTGAGGGCTTCAGGACTCCCAGGAAGCGCTGGCTGCCCCGGGACGAAGTAGCGGACTGTGTGCGATGTAGCGCTGGGATTCTTGTCCATATGTCTAAACAGGTTCTGCTGGGCTCTGGCTCCCAGCAGGCCAGGTAGGGGGCAAGTCGAGGGTTGGGAGGGGTGGCAAGGCAGCTGGGAGTGGGAAGAGAGCTGGAGTTTTTCCTTAGGTAAAAATAAATAGAGCGGATATCTGATATTGCCAAACGCTGCTTGGCGATGACGAGAAAGTGGGTATTTTAAAGAAAGTGCAGAAGGGCCATGGCTGGGTCCCAAAAATCAGAATCTTTGCCTTGCCCCGAAGAAGAATAAGAAAAGAGGATGGAAAAGAAAAGGAAAAAAATGTTATTTTTGAAAAAAATCACCAGTGGGTATGTGGGGAGAGGCTGGGCTGGGCAGCGGCAGGCCCAGCTAAAGGTGGGGGCAGTGCGGGACACACTTGTCTCTCGAGCACTCCATTCATGCTTTCCCTTTTGTTTACACTTCCTGGGGGTTTTCTAAATGGCTCTGTTCACGCTGCCTCTCCTCTTCATTGGCTGGGACGAGAGATTATGTGCAACTGGCAGGCAGGGAGGCCAGGCCTCTTGGAGACAGCTCGGATAATCCACTTGGACCCACAGTCAGCAGCATCTTAGCTTGTCTTCTCCCTCGGCCATGGCTTCTGCCCCTTGCTTCTCTTTGGGGGGGGGGGATCAAAAGGCAAAGAAAATAGAAGCCGATTCACCGCTGACGACTCCGGAAAGCGTTATTCCTTCTCCGCAAGCCTCTTCTCGGTCGTGTCTTGCCTCTCAGTGGCTCAGTCCCTACACTCGGCCCTCTCCTTCCCTCCCTTTCTCTTTCCCCTTCTCTCCCTCTCCTCCCTCTCTCTCTCACACACACATGCACACACACTGCTTTCTCTATTTCTCTCTGCTGAAATTTTATACCTCCCTCCCATGACGTCCCGGCCTGGGGTGGGGGAGGGAGGGAGGGAGGAGGGAGGGACCAGCGCACGCAGCCTCTCTTGCTACACGATTTTAATGTTTTAAACAGACACAGGAAAAGCCGAGCCCATTTGAAAAATACTTTGCGAGTCCTCTGGTTCGACGTGGTAACTGAACTTTTTTTTCCCCTCCTCTTGGAGTCAGTCCTGCTACACGTTGGCTGTTTTTCTGGAAAGTTACTCCCGAGCCCCCTCCCTCCTGCTACCCCAGCCCCTGTGCACCGGGGCTAGCTGTCAGTCCACGCTCTCTGCCCGGCTCTCTCGCCTCCCCGCGTCCCCGATCGCCCCTGGGCCTGGCCGGGGACACACGCAAGGTCCGCTAGGGGAGCAGTGCCGGGCGGCAGGGCCACTCTCTCCAGGCCCGAGGGTGGAACCCGGCTCGGCCGGGATCCTGGCAGCGGTTCTTCATTGACAATCGGGGAGCCCGGGCGGCTGCAGCTTGGATAAATGATGGCGTTTTCCGGAAGGCCGAGGGTGCCCTCTGGCGAGGCCGGGCCGCCAGTGACGGAGGTTTGGTGGCTCGGTCCCGTGGGACTGCCAGCAACACTAGATCCTGTGGTCAAGTTCCCGGCCCCACGTGCGAGTGAGCACCGCTTCCTTCCCGGACGACTCAGGACCTGGCCCCAGTTCATTTCCCAGCCGGGTTTCTTGGTCTTTCCCCCTCGCCGCCAGACCTAGGCCGAGCTGCCCGCTTTCTTCCCACATCTCACCATAGGCCTTCCCGAAACCTTTCCAGGCTCAGAAGTCTCAACTGAAGGGATGTCAATGTATTATCTTACAATCATGGAAACCGAGGCACAGTTCACGTTTTTCAAAGTCACACTGCGTGTGGGTAGTGAAGATGTTCATCACAGGCTGTCTAACCTGGAAAGGCATTATTTTTTACTTGTAACTTGTCTGACTATGAGGAAATCAAGGTGTACAGAGACCTTAAAAATGACTTCTTTAAGGTCACACCGCTCTTAGGTGTCAATACTACCATTCAGATCTTGCCTGACCATTGCCAGTCTGAACTTTGCTATGTTTGCTTCTGCAATTTGAGAAATAGATTTTTTTTCCCAAGGCAGTGTTTCTCTGTGTAGCCCTGGCTGTCCTGGAACTTGCTCTGTAGACCAGGCTGGCCTCGAACTCAGAGATCTACCTACCTCTGCCTCCTGAGTGCTGGGATCAAAGGTGTGCACCACCACCATCAGGTTGAGAAATAGTTTTTTTTAAAGTTTTTTTTTATTGTGTGTGTGTCCATTCGAACTTGTGCGCAGGTACTGTTGGAAGTCAGACAAGGGCAGTCATTTCTCTGGAGCTGGAGTTACAGGAGGTTGTGAGCTGCCTAGCATAGATGCTGGGAATCCAGCCCTGGCCTTCTGCAAGGGCAATGTGTGCTTTTACTTGCTGACTCCTCTCCAGCCCTGAAGGATATCCTTGGAGTCTACTACATGCCTTGTACAAAACACAACTTGCTTTTATGGAATTTGCATTTCCCAAAGAGGAACGGACGATAAAATTATGTGGATGATGGGACAGGGTAGGGGAAGGAGAGTGACTCAATTGGGGGATGTTGAAATTTAAAATGAGGTGGTGATCCCAGAGGCTGAGGTTCTTGGGCTAACTCTTTACAACACAGGAGGCAAAGCTGTTGAGGGAATGAATTCTCTTCCAGGCTATACACTTTCTGCCTTGCTCACACCTGTGTCTCCAGGGCAGCTATATTTTTAAACTCATTTCTCAAATGGTTCAAATGCTGGGTAAGGTTTGCCAGCCCCTGCTTGCTGGGGATTCTCTTGCCCGGGGTGAGTACCATTCACCCTTTGTTTTCTCAAAGTTGGGGAAGAAGTGGGAGGGAGCTTACAAGAAACTGAAAAATCCAAGCATTAATCCCTTCTTGCGTAACCGGTGCCACAGAAGAAGGAACAAGGGAATAGTCGATGCCTCTATTGAAGCTGTCTGAGATTTTTGGCAAGGATCTTTGCATGAGATTAAAATCTAACAACATATTCTCGATGAGAAGCAAGTAAGAATGTTACAGCGATCTTCACAGGTCATCCCCAGGGAGGAACCTTAGGTCAGACAAAGCTAGGATGAGGAATCAACTCCTCTGCCTCCCAGGCCATCGTGTCATCAGGCATGGGAGTGTTTGGTCCTACTCGGTGAACATGGGGGGAGAATCCTTGCGCTGGGTGTCACTTGTTGGGTACATCATTCAGCTCCTCCCATTTTCAAGTCCTCATTTTGAACCTGTAGCCATCCACATGCCATTTCCTGTAGGTCCCAGTGACCAATGACAAGAATTGGCCAGAGACGTTGACTTAGGGGTCTTATATGGAATATGAGTCAATAGAGACTCAACCTGTCTACCCCCTAGACTGGCAGTCCATGGGATAGCTCCTTCTGCAGGCCTAGGAGGATGTTGGGCAGCCATTATGTGCTGGAAAAGATCACTGCAGTAACATGTAGTATTACAAGGGCTGGTCCAGCACTTAGTGCTGGAGTTATTTTGTTCCAGCTATCTGTCTTGCTGAGTAGAGGAGTTGTTGATCACTTTGTGGTGTTGTTCATATTAAATAGAACCCCTAATGTTATATGTTATATCTTATTCTTTTTGAAGAAGAAGAAGAAGAAGAAGAAGAAGAAGAAGAAGAAGAAGAAGAAGAAAAAAGAAGAAGAAGAAGAAGAGGCTTACTATGTTGCCAAGGCTGGACTCAAACTCCTAGGCATACACGATCCATCTGAGTAGCAGCAACATGGCTTCTGTCACTGTGCTTGGCTATATTTACACTTTTAAAGGTGATTAGTACTCGAGTATTGGATATTTTAATCTGGCCTCTAAATAAACTTTACTTCCAAACACAGAGTTTCATGTAACCCATTCTCACCTCCCAAACTCACTATGTAGCTGAGGATGGCATTGAACTCCTGAGTTTCCTGCCTCTAACTCCCAAGGGCTGGAATTACAGGCATGCATGAATAAACTTCTTGAAGGCAGAAATCACATACTCCACATTTTTGCAAGTCCTTGTAAACGTTGTAAACTTTATTACTTACTGTTCATCTGTCAAATGGAAATAATACTACGTGTTCTGCCCTCCACAGTTGTTATATCCTTCACTAGAGCAGTAATCTGAAGGCCTTTCTACATTGCGAATGGGAGGGGTCAGAATAACCAACCGTGGCGCTTGCACTCACTCATAAATATATTTAATCAGAACTACACATGTAGGCAGTTCCCAAGGCTAACCTCGCCGGAGCGGATTTTGGCATCTGGAGATTTGTTTTGTTTTCCTTAAGTCAAGCAAAGTTGGTTTAGGAAAGACCTGGTTTAAACGGGAAGGTGACATGCAAGCCCCAGGAACTGTGAGGCGGACTCTTTAAGGTGGAAGGGCGGGGTCGTTGTTAGGGACGCAGCGCAGACGCTTGTTTCCAGGAAGTGACATCAGCGGCCGCGGAGATGGACGATTTACTGGACCTGGGCGAGGAGAAACGGCGCAGCTCGGCCACCTCTGTGAGGAGCGGTGATGGGGGCTGGGGACTGGTTCAACGGGTGGGACAAGTGGCCGAAAAAACCGCAGTCGGGACAGATCTCGGCTCAGCCGTCTGAGTGCGAATCCGGTCTGGACAGAGGGTCTGCGCCCCAAGCCACGCCCGCCCTCGCCCTGTAGTCTAGTCCCCGGAAGTTCTCCCAAAAGCTGCTAAGAAGAGAGGTGGTTGGGGCTGTCCTTTCCTCCCTGTAGCCCTCCTTCCCAGGATTGGAAATCAACACTCTAGTATATTACGTGGGGGGAGTAACAACAACAACAACAACAGAACCGTTGATGGACCAGAATACACCTAGCCCAGGCTTCCTTGCTGGTAGAATGGAGGTGGGTGTTGCTGTGCAGGTAAAACGGGCATTTATCGCAGCGCCTGACCTTCGCTGCTGTTTCCTCCCAGGCCATGACCAGCATCTAGCCAGTAGATCATAGAACCATTAAAGATCCACATCCAGTGTTTTCTGACTGTCAGAGCCTCCGGGTCTCCGTAGCCTTTAGAGTTCACTTAGTTGAGATCACTAAAACATCAGGTCACCTAGCAAGTCCTTAGTTTCTGCTCTAAAATCTCAGGTGTTTTGAAGGATCCCAGTAGCATCCCATGCCCTCCAAGGTGCTAGAGAGGCTCCGATGGAGGGAGATAAGAGAGACAGGAGCCAACTGGTTGAGAATGGAGCAGGGTTTTTTGTTTGTTTGTGTGTGTGTTTTTTTTTAAGCTAAGGACAATAGGCCATCCGTTTTTTCCTGATACATGGACCTTTTTAGTACCTGGAATGTGAATGTAGTAGTGATTTGGTTTTCCACAAATACGTGTTGAGCCCTACTGTGTATCAGACTTTGTTCTAGGCAGAGAACACAGCTTCACTGACCTTTGCCTTGGAGGCGCTGCGGGGGTGGGCTGGAGCCCAGTAAACAAACTGCCCTTAAAGTAAGAGATCTCAGGTTGTAAACTGGTTTCCTATGTTGCCAATCGAATATCTCGAACTTTAACAGTCGTTAGAGCAGTCACTTGTCAACAGCATTTACAGACACCTTCCCTGATTTCTGTCTTAAGGTAGCCACTGTAGGATCCTGGAGAAGGAAGTGAGCTTGTATTATCAGAAAGATTGCTCACACCACCCTTGGAAGATTGACATCGCAACTTGAAGGATTGATGAATGCAATCAGGCGCCCAGATCCTACTTTAGTGTTTTTTTTTTTTTATGCAGCACTCCTAAAAACCTTCCTTCTTAGAACACTTAGTACTGAGTTTTTCAGTGGGGTGTTGTAGAGAGAAGCCTTTTTTTTTTTTTTGTCAGAGCCACGGTGAAGGAACCCTGAAAGAGCTATGCTATGCTGAGGGTTTTTTCCAATTTGTTTTGTTTTTTTAAGTAAATGATCACACAGAGACACTCTTCAGCCATTAGTGTACCCCAGAGTGTTGTTTTTGTCCTGGGGAATGTTGGGGACAGAGCCTCTACCCACTAGGAGGGCTTGGGGAACACCTGCAAATGGTGACTCAGAATCTTGAAGTGCTCTATTTCCCAAAGGTGATGTCTCAGCATTCCTGTGCCCCTCTTCCCAACCAGATCCAACCAGCAGAGCAAGAGTTCTCTCTGGATGGATTCCTCTGGTGTCAGCTGCCATGAAACTGAGGAATTCTCCCTAAAAGCCTGTCAGGTAGCTGTCACTCAAGTCCTGCCTAGGAAGGTGGGAGCCTTTACCACCTGCTCTGAGCTGTGGTTAGAGGCTTCGGCCCAGACTAGCTGCGTTTCTAACTGTGTGTTGTGGATAGAATAGTGACTTTGCTTTTGCTGTAGCTGGTTTTTGCAAATCTCTTGATCAAGAATCTGTATGCTTCCTGTTCTGCCGAATAGAACAACCTTGGGTACTTTCTCGTAAGGATTTAGAGAATTCTCTGTGAATATATACAAGTTACTCAAATCCTGCTCTCTGCCATGCCAGAAAATTCCAGTCCTGGCTTACCATTATGTCATACTCACAGGGCCTCAAATACCATTGGATCATCTGTGCTCTCTCTTTGCAGGGGGCCAAGATGGGCCGCAGAGCTCAACAGGAGTCAATGCAGGCTGAGAGTTACTTGAGTAGCAAGAATTCTTCATTAACTCAGACTGGAGAGGTGAGTGCTACAGAGACAGAGAGGAAACAAGAAGGTGTAGAGAAATCCCCTCTAAGAAGAAATGAACCTTAATGAGCAGGGTTGTGGTCCTCTACGATATTTGGTTGGGATGCCAGCCTTCCCACGTGTCTTGATTTGGAAGTTCCTTTCTAGGTCATTGACCTACTGGATTCTGAACTTTTTTTCTTCAAATTCATAATGTACAATTTTTATTTTATTTTTTTTGTTTGATTTGGTTTTTGATTTTTTGGGACAGGGTTTTGTGTGTGTGTGTGTGTGTGTGTGTGTGTGTGTGTAAAACACACCTGGCTGTTCTAGACTTCACTGTATAGGCCAGGCTGACTTCAAACTCACAGAGATCCACCTGCCTCTGTCTCCCAAGTGCTGGAATTAAATGTATGTGCCACCACCTCCTACCTAACTTATTTTATGTTTTAAAGACAGGGTCTCAAGTAGGCCAGGCTTGTGTGGAACTCACTATGTAGCTGAGGATGACATTGAATTACTGATCCTCCTGCCTCCACCTCCTGAAAGCTGGGAATACAGGCATGAACTGCTATGCCCTGTTGTTGCAGGTACTAGGACCAGGCCCAGGACTTCATGCATGCTAGGCAAGCTCTCTACCAACTGAGCATAGCTCCAGCCCTGTAGAGCTTTTAATGCCACCTGAAGTGAGAGACTGGAAAGTCAAAATGCAGAAACTGTCAAGTTTTACCTTATAAAGACCAGGAAGGTACACTGGTACTGTGAGGTTGGATCACATAACTGGGAGTTTGCAGCTAGTAGCAACTGATGTTTCCTAGAATCTCAGGCAGGAAGGGCATTTGGCTGCCTCTGCCTTCTAGAAACTTTTCCAATTGGCCTTGACCTTTAAGGAATGATCCAGTTTCTTTTGTGAAGAGTGGGAAATCCACAAACAGTATTCTTTATTACCAGGATTCACTCAGTCCTCTTCATTTGCACAGTCTTTGCCTTTCCAAGTCTTCCCTGACCCCTGTAGGCTGTCTTCTTAGGACTGCCCCCTCCTGTTTGGGGCAGGCTGGATTATTTGCTAATTGTAGTTCTCCATGTCTCTCTGCTCCACTAGAAAGTGAGTCACCAGACAGTAGGAAACCTGGCTTCTTGGCAGTTGTCTAACTCAGCAGTTCATGGTGGCTGAGGGGACCCGAACTGAGAAACTGGCAGATCACATAGGTGCACATAACCCGCACACACTGTATTCAAGTGGAGATGTTTTTCCCTGTATCAGAAAGGACGTCACCATTTTCTTAAGCTCTTTATGTGGTCCTGTCTGCGTATCTTTCATTTTCCCACTTACTGTAGAAGCGTGAGTATGAGGAATTATTATTGTAACCATGATCTCAGCATGTGAAATCTGACAGACAGCTGACTCTTCCCTCATCAGCCGAAGACCCTAGGACGTGTATTAGGGCCTGCAGGTCGTATGACCACTCTAAAGGGATAACTGGTATCTCATCAAAGCTGGTTGAGGTTGGCAGGATATAGATCAGCACTGCTTGATCTTCTAAGAAACGCTGACAGACTAGGGGTGTGTGTGTGTGTGTGTGTGTGTGTGAGTGTGTGTGTGAGTGTGTGTGTGTGAGTGTGTGTGTGTGAGTGTGTGTGTGAGTGTGTGTGTGTGTGTGTGTGTGTGTGAGAGCGATGCACACCTGTTGCTGACGCTGGTCCTCAGCATCTTCCTTCACAGTCATTATGAAAATTCATTCTACTCCTCATCTCTCTGGTGTCCAGCAGAATTCCAGAATGTCTCCCTTCCCTTCCTGAGGCACTAGCGCTTGCAGCAGCGTGGGCAGCCTCCCACAGGACCATGTACTCCCTGGGCTGTGTGAAACTCTTTGGCTGTTTCTTTCTAAAATTAGATCCAGGATTTGTGCCCATTTACACCCAGTTCCGAGCATACTACTTGATATGTTTATTTTTATCCCCTCGCTGACTTTATTTAGTGGAGATAGCCCTAAAAAGACGTAAGCGTGGTACCTGGGAACTGTCAGGCAGACTGGGGTTACTTTAGAGTCAAGTAGGAATTAGTTTTGGATAAATAGTTATTTTAACGTGAGGTTGTAGAGGAAGGAGGAGGAGAGATACAGGGCTTGCCACTGACTCTTCTAATTGCCTGACTCTTAAATCCTCTAATCTCTGGAATCCTCCATCTTGTCGTATGTCAAATGGTGATCATAGTGCCCTTAGATGAATGTGGGGATCAAGTGAGCTATGCGTTTAAGCACTTGGGTAAACGAAAAAGCACTGTGTAAGCTCCTGATTGTCGAGCACGGTAGTGAGTGACTGGGTCTTTGCACTCTGCTGTTCCCATTGAAGGGCTGCATGGAGAATGGTTAGTGCCGGGTGCGGTGGCACATGCTGTAATCCAGGCCCTGGGCATTTTGAGTTGGTTCTCTCCCTCCACCATGGGTTGGGGATTAAACTCAGGTCACCAGGGTTGCACAGCAAGCGCTTCATCCACCGAGGCTTCTGGCCAGACTTAGGCTGTTAAACTTAAAAAAAAAAGTTAATAGTTATAAAATTGAAAAACCTGATGTAAAAATCCAGACTTGGGGTTTCCCTTGGAAATCAGAAGTCCTTCCCAGTGAGACCTATGAACTAGCATTTCCATGTGGCAGCAATTGGCCAGGCACTGGTACCGCCTCCTTATGGGTGACTAGGTGATTAGGTTTCTTCAAGTCACCGCTTTTCTTCTCCCTGTCTTTATTTGTAGTGCTGGGGATGGGATCCAAGGCCTTGTATATGTTAGGCATGTGCCTTACGCTCTCTCTCTCTCTCTCTCTCTCTCTCTCTCTCTCTCTCTCTCTCTCTCTCTCTCTCTCTCTCTCTCTCTCAAGATGATCTCACTAAGTTGCCCAGGACTACCTTGAACTTGCCACCTTTAGTCTCTGAATAGCTGGAATTACAGGCTGTGCTAGGTTTCCAGCTTGCGTCACTTCTGCTGCTGCTGCTACTACTGTTTCTTCTTCTCCTTCTCCTTCCTCCTCCTCCTCCTCCTCTTCTTCCTCCTCCTCCTCTTTCTTCTTCTCCTTCTTCTCCTCCTCCTCCTCCTCCTCTTCCTCCTCCTCCTCCTCCTCCTCTTCTTCCTCCTCCTCCTCTTTCTTCTTCTCCTTCCTTCTCCTCCTCCTCCTCCTCTTCCTCCTCCTCCTCCTCTTTCTTCTTCTTCTCCTTCTCCTCCTCCTCCTCTTCCTCCTCCTTCTTCTTCCTTTTCCCTTCTGCCTCTTGATCCTCCCTCCCTCCCTCCCCTCCCTCTCTCGCCTTTTTGGAGGCTGGGTTTCTCTATAGCTGTCCTGGAACTGACTTTATAGACCAGGCCTGCCCCCATTTCCCAAATGCTGGGATCAAAGGCATGCGCCATCACTGCCTGGCCACTTCTTACTTTTTGTTTGCTGGCTTGTTTGTTTCTGAGACAGTTTGCTTTGTAGCTCAGGTTGACCTCAAACTTCAGGGTCTTTCTGCTTCAGCCTCTCGAGTGCTGGGATTGCAAGCATGTGCCTCCGCGCGTGGCCACTTCTCACTTTAACACAGCATCAGACTTACTCACTTGGTCCTGAATTTCAAACCTGTGCTGTTTGGAGATAGTTTCCAGGCATTCCTCTGCACGTGTTAGCGCTGAATTTGGCTACATTCAACAGCCACTTTTCCTCTGGCCTGACTGAAATAGGACTGGCTTTCGAGGAGTTCAGTGGAGGACAAAGGGGATGTGGTTACTGGATGATGTCCTGTGTCATCCTGAGCCATCTACTTTCCTGCTGTGCTGCTGGGAGCTTGTGGCTTTAGTTCTCATGGTTGCAAAATGATTGATGCTTGTCGGGGATTGGATCTCCATTCTAGGCAGGGAAAGAGTTCAGGGCACATCCAGTTAAATGCTCCCCTTTGAGCAGGAAACAGTAGCCGGAGACCTCAGCAAGTATATGACTAGCTGTATTTTATTGGCCAACACAGCTTTACAACTGCCCTAGCTTTCAGGAGAGCTTTTAATTCAGTCAGAATTGGGTCTTATAACTACCACTCTGCATTTGGGAGGAGTTTTTACAGGAACATTGGTGTTTCTTGCTGAATGAGGAGGAATGGCTGTGGGGTAGGCTTTTTTCTAGTTGACCTAATAGGGCTGGGAGCCGACTCAGCCATTAAAGTGCTTGCAGTGTGTGTTAGTTACCTTACTGTTGCTGTGATAAAACTCCATGCACAAGGCAGCTCATGGAGGAAGGGTTTGTTTGGGGATCATCATTCCAGAGGGGTATGAAATTTATCACCATCATGGCAGAGAGCCTGGTAGTAGGCAAGCAGGCAGGCAATTTTTTTGAGTTATAATTACACCATTTCCCCCTTCCTTTAGGGCGGATAGCTTTGTGGGGCTCACCCCTACACTTTCCTCCCTCCAAATCCTCCCAGTGTGTTCCCTGCACCCTCCCCACCAAGAGCTCACATCTCGAGGAGGCCAAAACCATAATGGGAATGACTGGAGTCCTCTGAAGTCTCAAAGCCCACCCCCATGGACACACCTCCTAATCCTTCCCAAACAGTCCCACCAGCTGAGGACCAGGTATTCAAGCGTGTGAGCTGAATCTGTAGCAGCCGTTCTTATCAAACCATCACACTGCAAACACGAGGAGAGCTGTGTTAGAGTCCCTGCACCCACATAAAAACCAGGCTCAGTGGTGCTCACCTGTAACCCCAGCACTGGAAAGTGGAGACAGGAAGATCCCTGGGGTTGTTGGCAATCAGTGAGCTCCAGATTCTGTGAGAGACCCTGTCTCAAAAACTAAGGTGGGGAGCAATTCAGGAACTATACCTGATACCAACATTTGGTTTCCATGAACATATAGAGATGTAGACATGAATACACAGACAGACAGACAGACAGACAGACAGACACACACACACACACACACACACACACACACACAGGTTGATACAAACTAACTTGACATTAAAAATTAGAACTTAACACAAATTTTTAAATAGACTTGGATAGA